TCCATCTATCATTTATTGATCAACAGTGATTTTTTTTAAAGCAACATTTACCCTGCCATAAGGTAAAAAAAAAAGGAAAGTCCGTCACGAGCCAATATTATGACCCATCAGGCCGGCGTTTATCTGCCATCTGGGAGTACTCGTAAAAAAAAAAATTAAAAAAAATGTCTCACTGTAAACCTACGATGTTTATTACCAAATGAAATCTCCATTTGGCGTTTATTACAACTTAACCTACCACGCGTTGTAAATTGAATATCGTTGTTTTGTCAGCTTAAATCTTGCAATGTTGAAGTTGAGATTAACCTTTTGAAATACAACAGGCAGAAACCGACATTTTTGGCGTTCCCCAGTTTGTGCGAATTGAACACACAGTAGCGAGACTAACGTGCGGACTGTTTTGCTGTTTTGAGTTGCGAAGGATCGTGAGCACAGGTTCTGAAGGCTTTTCTAAATAACAGAGCTTTCAATTGCATCTTTACGCTTAATCCGAAATGTTAAAATGATGCTCGATTGGGGAAAAAAAACACCTGTCGTCATAATTGATAGCTCAAAACTCTGAAATGAGCAGAAGTTACACCTGTCAAAAATTATTTTACTCATCAGCGTAATTTGACTCCAAAACTGCACCTTTGAAGTTAATTGAGGCTTAGATTATGATTGATGTTAGGCTCAGATTCAATCATTCATAATTTAAAAAAGGCTTCCGTGTGATTCTGTTTCTCCTGTGTGGATGATTTTGTCAGTTAATTGATGGGGATCATTCGTGCAATTAAGGGGTTGCACTTAATTACAGTCCTTAAACACGGTATTTGCAACCCAAGTACGTGTGTTTTAATTTTTTTATGTAGTACATCAATATGTGGTACAAACATGGTGAGCTCTACAACTACAACGGAAAAACCGCCAAAATGTTTGATTTGATTTATAAAAGCATTGCAATCAATATGATGTCATTGTAATTATATATCATGACTATCCCAAGTTATCCTCGCTTTATCATGACTTGCTCGTGTTTTATTGTCGGCACTGCTGTTACCTAATATCATTACATTTCACTGAAAGCTCAAACGGCCATCTGGCCAGCAGCCATTATTCTGTGAAATGTACTCTGTTTGTTTTTTCAAAGACATAACATCACTCAGTTTATTGCCAGATGTTTGAACTCTACAAGCATCTACGCATGTTATCATGCGTGTTAATGTTTCTTTGTAGGGCCTAATGTTATTTCAAAATAAAATGTTCCTGTTTGAGTTTATCAGAATAGCAGTTTCTTTTATACTCTTTGTGTTGATTTGAATTCTACTTATATTTTGTAGTTCACGTAGTCGTTTTTATTTGTTTATAATACATTTTAATTGAAATTAATTTTGTTTAAAAATTGTAATTATTTGTACAGGGCCCTTATAGGAACATCACTTTTTAACTGATGAGGCCACCATGTTTGAAAATAAATAAGTCAGTAAAACAAACAAGTTGGTATTCTGATGATAAGTTTGGAAGCTCCGAGTAAATTCCCAAAGCGCACACTAGTATTAAGCCACGTTTCTTGACAATTATATCGAAGGCTCTAGGCATTATACAAGTAAATTGTTATAGCTTTCCTGATGTCCCATATCTGACGTCTCGTTCCCGTGACGTGCACGTTCGCGTTCACGCCACTCATATTTATATCAGGAACTCTGGTAGAAGAAGCAGAAAAACATGTCAATGGGGTGCATTTCATAGACCATGAAATTGAATTCAAAAATCGATTTCGACCGGTATAGAAATCATCCACGGTTTGGTTTTGCCCTATATAATTATACTGCAGAGCAATTCACTATGCAAGCTTTTCAAAATGCGCGATCAGGAAATGAAGTATTTCAGTTGAGGGAGCTGGAGGGACATGAACAGTCCACTCTGCCACTACTCACTCGGATTGGACGAAGGACCGATGGATGTAGGTCGAGGGACCATTACTTACCTGAACCACATACATGTCATACGATCTTTGATTCGTGGCTCGGCAGTTTTTGAATTGAAAGTCAACAGGAGACCCTTGGGCCCCATTTGAAACGCAACCATTTTTGGACATGCAGGCTTTCCGCGACCTTACACTGTTTTTCAGACATGCCATTTGAAAGAAAAGTTTGAGGAAAAGTTTGAACTAAAGGGATGTTAGTCTTCTTGAATTATGAAGCGACGGCTGGAGAATCTTCTTGTTGAAGTTTGTTGCCATAGGCCTCGATACTCACTTAACCTAAACGTTCACAGGGCGAAATCCGTTGATATTTTAGTTTAAATATGTACATCGCTTTTTTCATTCGTGATAAAATCAAAATGACATTCCCGTCAATCGTTTTTTTTAATATAAATTTCTAATAGTCTGGGAGATTTAATTATAAATTCGTTAATATTTTAGTTTTGTACATCCAAGAGCAAAAAAAAACCCTCAATATGGATGTGATGTGATAGATACATTTATTTCGATGCTGCATAAAGGACGATACATAATGTTATATATTTAAATTAACAATACATGAACATAGGTATATTTACAATAGTGAACATTAACTAAATGGCAGCATCTAGGTCCGGGGTGAAGCATCAGCTTTTGTTCCCCAGCCTATGGACAGACAGACAAGTGACAGACATACGTTATAATTTAGGTTCTATTAAACTTCCTGAATTCTTGTTTTTTGCACATAATGAAAAGTACCCCACTGTGGAAAACAAAATTCAGCGTTAATACTCACATCATGCACAATAAGAAAATATATAATCCGCATCCGCCGAAATATATCATTTCAAGTTTTATTACATTTTTTCCCCAAAGGGTATATGCTATAGTTCTAAACATTACTCTTTATGTAAGTTGTTTTCGTTCATTTAGGTACTTCTAAATATATCTATCAGCCAGAACAAAAATTTATTTCTGTCTTGACTGCCGCAAGGAACGACGGCTTAAAATTACACCTTTTCCGTGCGAGCAAGTGGCCGCGTCCGGGTACAAACGGTATAAATGATGAGCAGCGGCTCGCTGCAACCCATTTAGGCCGTGATTTAAGTGCAATCTCAGGGAGGAAGTTGGGGACTTTCGCGCTAGTCGGCCCCTGGGGGACTGGAAGACGACACTGGTTTATGCAAATCAGACGCTCACCCAAAAAAAATCCGTCTTTTTTTCCTCTTCTCCTGGAGAGGAAGAGACTTAGCTCACCGCTTCGAAGCTCTTGGAAGCTTGCCTGGACCCAGCTTGACTTTTCTGCTGCTTCCTAAAGTCCGAGCAATGTCTTGTAATACGGCCTATACTATACACCTTAATTATACCTTCTTTTTTTCAGTTTAAATTACATTTCGTGCTTAATTTGATATTAAACACAATATTGGATGACACAAGCCGCAGGCTCATTATTTAACTCTCGAAGAAGTGAGCCAATACATACATTTATGATAAACAAGAATGAGGTATCAGTGTACACTTGGAATTTTATCTCGGCCTCCCAATTCATTATCTCTGAATTAAGAAAGAAGACATTAAACATTTAGAAACTGGATATACAGTGAATAGTGCATGTTTTGATTTCAAGGACCAAGCTGAAATTAAATCAGTATAATCTTTAAGATATCAAAAAGGCATACAGAGAATATTTCAAAGCTAATTTCGTTTTAAAACAAAATTTGCAGATATTGAAATTATATATTAACATCTGTTGGAAATCCATACTATGTCATACTGGACTAGATAACTAAAACCGAATCAACACATAAAATAGGCCTACATCATCGGACAAAGATAAGTTTTCAGTTAAAGATCTTTGAAAGATCTCTCAGAGACCGTGATTCATAAAGCCGTTTGGGTATTTTAAAAACTGAGCGGATGTTCAGATTAAAATACTGGAAGCATTAAAGCCTATACCCTCCCGCTAATAATTATTATGTTAACTTTAGGAAATGTGATGACCCATTCTTTCCGCCAAAAAAAGTTATTTGAATCCGTCGGTATAAATTCAATAAGGTTTGAGCAGTAAAATTCTTGGCAGGTCGGTGACCAAAAGGACCAGGTCAAGGGTAATAAACATATAGTGTGTACTAAAAAGTGAAAGCCAATACGATTCTTACCAAGTCACGACGTAACACGTGTCCTGTTGACATGGGAGTCAAGCTAGCCACGCGGAGTGATATCAGATATAGTGATATCTAACACTTGGTATCTGTGATGATGCTATCGCGCGCCAGGTTCAATGTGCACTTCATCTATAGTCACTGCACTTTATTCATTGACCATAAATTATATTGCTATCGCATGTATTCTGCGCTGAATCTATCTTCTCCTTGTAATTAATGTTTTTATGTTTTCTTTACGTATTTGTCATTGTTGTTTCCAGTGTTATTGGTTTGCATGCATTGGTAAATTAATGAAATTCCCACATCATGCCGTAGAACTGCTGAGTGTTTCGAAATATTTAATGAATTTCTGAACATCAGATGGGTTCATCGAGACGCGTAAAATCCGACTTTACTCGTACATTGTTTTCAGGTTTCGTTTATTTCTTAAATTTAACAGTCGTATAAAAATTAATGATAGGCCTGCACTATGTTATGTTCGTGTGGGTCCGTCGAAATGGAGATTTATAGATGATTCTACAAATGGCTGGTTCAAGTTCAAGCAAGTGATCATGGTGTAAATGTCCTTGGGCAAGACACTTTGTCATTATATGAGTAAATAGAAACTTAACAGGTTCCGGCGTATTTTGGGCTGAATTACCTTAAAAATGAACCAGCTGACACGAGATACATTCAGTACGTCCCCTGCCTTTGTGGATGACGCATGGGAAGAGGCCAATGCGCATGTAAAACTCTGATAAATGTGTTCACGTTTTAGGGCTTTAAAACGTCGTCAAATTTTCGTTTCAAGAATTGTCTATCGAGTGCTCAGCTATATCTGCTAATTTCAGCCTCACAGTAGTACCAGTCGAGCGAAGTTGATTGACCGATTGGTTTATCATTTGTTCTTGCAGATTTTCTGCAGTGATGGATAACACCACGATAGAGACGCTGATCAGTATAAACAATGATGATGAAGAAGGCGACTGCAACGCGTTTCTTAGCGGCATCAATCAAAGTGTACTGGAGGCGTATTGCAGTATGCGAGCATACGAAATGCTAGGGTCACCCCTGAACATCTTCATGTACATCGTCGTCTTGACTGGCGTGGTAGGCAACGTGGCTCTTCTGACTGTCATCCTCAAGAACAGGCCCCTGAGGACCACACCCAACATGCTAGTCATCAATGTTACGTTGGGAGACCTGATGTACCTTATAGTGGTCGTGCCTACCAGACTCGAGTATCAAGTGGCGTTCTGTTTCCCCGACAGTGAGCCGCTATGCAAGTTTGCAAGCGCTTGGCAGGTACTGGCGCAGGGCGTGTGTATCTTCTCGATCATGGCTGTCTCCTGCGAGCGTTACGGAGCTATCACCCAGCATCTAGGCCGCAGCTTGTTCAGAGGCTCTGCTAGGAAAACCGGCTTCTTGATTGGGCTAGTCTGGCTGGCTTCTCTGGTCATAGCTGTCCCAGTTTACGCAACGGCTTCCTTGCACGGAGGCTTCATATGCACGTACCTGCCACATTTCACGCCAGTGGCCAAGGGCTACGTCACCGTGCTTTTGGTCTGTCATTATATCGTGCCCTTGCTGGTCATCACGATTCTCTATTCACGAATGGCCCACACGCTGATCCGAAGTGCGGATAGTTTCCGAGGTGAGAATCAGCCCGGAGCTAAGCAGTTCCGCGCCAGGAGACGGCTGGCCATCATCGTTCTCGTCATCGCTGTTTTCTTTGGTGTCTTTTGGATGCCCTGCTACATCTACAACATGTACTATCAGTTCGCCGTATCATGCGACACTATAAGTGACAAAGACCATATATACGAAGAGCTGCGTTTCTTCGCCGCTTTGATCAACTCATGCTTCAACCCATGGATCGTGTTCATCATGAGCTCCACCCATCAGAGAATGCTGATGCGATGTATCTGCTACCGGGAGCCAGGCTCTAGGACCACAGAGCGGCGTACCAACATGACTACACTCCGCTCCAATAGCTTCATGAACAGTACCAAGACAAACTACACAGAAATAACCTCAAGTATGTGAAATGCAAACCAGCATCTGGTTGGGTTTGGGTTAGCACAGGCAAATACTGAACCCACGGTCTAGAATTGTTTCTGTCTTTCATTTGGGGTCTCAATTCGGTCTTTGCACGAAATCGTTGGAACAAAAGCGAGGTTGTAAAACAAGGACCTATTGGCGTCGTTATCATGTGAAGCTGATAAGTTATTACACATTAAGAACCCAAACAGGTGACTCAAGCGTATCTGTTGCCTCGCTTTTAACCCAACCATGCAAGAAGCCTCCCATGATGCATTTCAACACCCATAAGCGTGAACATTTACAAATCTATGCTTAAAACAAATGAATGTCCGTGCATGTGTATGATAAATTTGAAATACGGGGAAAAAATTATAAGTTGAACAAACATTCAGCATGCACAGATGATAATACGCGAGGTGGTTTTGTGCATAAATTTGCTGGGTTTTTGTTCTTCTCTCGTTTGTTGCGATCGTTAGTGGTTCACCTTACTTAAAACTTATCAACGTAACATCAGTTCTTTAATCTTGTAATGGTTAATGTACTATAAATATTTAATTGGTAATATAAAGAATAGGCCTAACGGTGTATACCGACACCCATTTGTAGAAATCGCCCGTTTTAAGCGCGAACTCTGGCACAGTAGATGTTTAAATTTCAAATATTCTTCTTCTTATTATTATTATTATCATTCATTCGGCATTAAAACACACACATTAATATACATCTTGGTACAATACAATTATAACCGACAAAAGCCAGCGGCAAATACCAGGAATTGAAAAAAGCTAACTTAATACATGTGGCCATATATTAATTCCAATACCAGTGGCTACAAAACAAATAAAATTATACAATACATTTTAAAAGAAATTACATAGAAACAGATTTATTAAAATGAAGTGTTCGGGGATTGGGTAACTTTTTTGGCAATCGTGTACGACAGACTGCTAAACCGATCTAAGGGGGTCATGTGCAATTAGTTTTGTTATGACCAGAGTATTTTGCGGAGTAATAGTTTGGTCATTACACTTTTGGTTTAGAAGCTTAAACGTGAATAACTAAAAACTCTTGAGCAATTTGCTCGATTTCTGTTTGCGCCAAACCATGAGCATATTTCTCATTTGATAATTGGCTCAAAACCGAGACGTGGCCAAGCGGAAAGACTGGGCGGTATCGAGATTGTCAAAATGTACGGTATTGCTGTTATTTTGCGCATCGGAATCGTCGGAATGCATTAAAGTACTATAGGCCTAACAGCAAGTGATGTGGTATGTAATTTTACGGAATACAAGATGCTAGTAGTTAGCCTAATTGTAGAGAATTGAGAGACGCTAGTCTTTGGGATGGCGGCTTGTCTATTTTTACCGATTACTTAACGCCTCAAACATGACGAAAGACATGCGACATGTCCAGGCCGGGTGCAACAAGCCACTGGCAAAATTTATCACTCCCGGGCGTACTGTTCATTTCAAATTGAGACATCGGCATCCTCAAATAATTATTCTTCCGAAGTATCGTCTTTTTCATATGTACTAATTTCCGATGGACGATGCTTAACTTCTGGTCTTTTCAAAGCAAAGTGCGCGACATGGAGAGCGGGAGAGATGAAGTCTGAGCAAGTACATGTTATCTCGACCGATATATGAGTTCGGGCTTTATCAGTCAATTAACGTTGAGATCGACGGGACGGTGATCTTCCATGATTAATGATTGGTCGTGCACAGTCTCGTATAGAGAAATCAGCAAATCAATGAGCTCGATATATCCCCGCCGCCATGCGGATTCGGAAAGTTCTTGAGAGAAAGAGGGGTACGGAGATGAGTGTGGATCAAGGTATCACTAGGCCATGAATAACTGAATCTTAACCAGTTATTGGATAGCTGGACGAACCTGCGGGGTTTGTGTCGAATTCATTACCAACAATAAAGAATACAAGTCATGCTTGCTAATTTTGTTCTTTGCGATCTTACATTTTCAGTCCATGGTAGTCAAAGCAGTAAACTCGAACTACTGTATGACAAACCCTTTGCCTCTTTTCCTCTCAAAACTTCCCGATATCCAACAAAGCTTTTGACAAAAAATGACCGAAAATGATAGGTCGTGCAAGCTTTGTTTATACTCGACCCTTGTCGCCGTCTTGTGGCAATAATTGTTTATAGTAAGGCAGATTTGTGAAAAAAATGGGCCTTTTTAAGTACAACCATGAATTTTGGCACAGTTCAGGACTATGGTCTGAGTATAATGTTTTGAGAAGTAGAGCCACTCTAAAAACGTCCTCAGTCGTTCGTGGCGGCCATTTTGAAAAATGGCCGCCAAATACCACATTTGGAACCAGGAACCTACCATTGCAATGCACTTTAGGGAAAGCTAAAGGGTAGAAAAGAATCTCACTGTCATCCAGATATGTTTATTGAGGAATCGGGGGCAGTCTAATTGTAACAATAGCCTTTATTGCGAAATTGGCGGGAAACATGGCTGCCATTTTCAAAATGGCCACAAAATTCAACATTCGGCACAATGGACCTGTTATTGTGCTGCAATTTTCACAAGAGTAGAGGCGCAAGTAAATATTAATACCGCCTAATTATGTTTATTGAGGGATCAGGAAGTCTTTCCTTGCAAAAACAGTGTTTGTATCATATTGCGGAATTGGAAGGAAATATGGCGGCCATTTTTAAAGGTTTCATAATTTGTAAATCTTATCTGAGGATATTGCGCCGCGTCATTACAGTGTCGGTTATCGAACACAACTGACGTGCATGAAACGTCATTGAATTGACCTGTCCACTGAAACACACCATTTACTGACAATTTCAATTTCGATCTCGGAACACCTGTGGACTATAGACTCGCCCACGTGGTTGAGGGATAAGCTTGCGTGAAAAAAACAGAGTGGGCTGAGCATCAAGTTCAGCGTCTTACAAAACCAACCGCATGTTGGGTGATGGATTGTGGGGGATGTTTGTGTGCCTATAGACTGCATTATGCAGCACGGATTACATCTTTGGACCAAACTCGTACGGACTGCGAATGAAGGAAAATCCTGACGAAATCATACGGGAGTATGTGCATTTCACATTCAAGTAATTTCGTCACGGCGAAGCAAACTGATCACGGAAAATAGGAACATCTAATTTGTATTGATACCTAAAGCTGACACATGCTATTACGGCTATTTCCTATTTTATCGCCTAAAGGAGCAAAAAAGAAAGTTAGCAAAATTCCAAACTCTTCGATCACTATGTACTTACACGTCTACGGTAGCCTGTTCATGACACCCTATAAGGAATAATTGTCCCTGCGACTGGAACTCATCCGGCTAATGAACACAAGCATTTACTGCCTAACAACGATGTATAATCCCAGATAGTTTCTAAAGCCCAGAATTGCACCCATCTAATTATTGGAATATTCACGAGTATTCGTTTTGTCCACAATCGGAAAACAGTCAACAGGTTAACGCCATTGTACGGTACGCCTGTCTAAAGGTGAGACGGGGCTGGTAGCTTTTACGCATACGAATACCCATGGACACATTTCTAGTGAGAGCAAGTACATTATTAATGGTGTCAGTAATATGAAAAAAAGTAAGTTCCTGAAAAGGTGATTATCGCGGATAATGAAAGATGGAGGTTGAAAGATTGTAAACCTAACCCGCACAAAGTCCAAACGGAGGCATTTCAACTATACACTCTAAAAAGTCCCGGGACAGATTTGACCCGGAAAAGGGTTATGTGGGGCCTGACCCTTTTCAGGGACAAAAATTACCCTTTTCCAGGTCAAAAATGACACTTTGACCCGGAAGACGAGTCACACAGTGTAATTTTGACCCAGAAAAGAGTCATTTTTGACCCGAAAAAGGGTCGGGCCCCACAAGACCCTTTTCCTGGTCAATTCTGACCCGGGACTTTTAAGAGTGTAGAATCAGAGTTGATATTCAAGACACAAACGCTAAAAGATCGGACTAATTTATTGCAATTTTAAGAGAAGAAAAACGAAAATGTGTTTCTGTTTCATACAATCTCCTCGGTGTTTGGACCTGTTCGGTTTTCAAAAAGCCTTTTCCCCCTCATTTGCTGAAGCGAGTATAGGGAGAGAACGGATTGATATATCACATTACATATCAAGTACGCCTTATTAGGTGGCGTATATCAAACAACCATTCTCGATCTCCTTTAAATTTGCAGGAGAAAATTCCAACCGCAGACTTCCTTAACGATTCCATAATGTGATCATTAATTTTGTGGTCATTAGTTGGGCGACGTTGTGGACATTTCTAAATCTGTGCCAACCTCGATCATTATCTGTGTGACACAGACACTCTTCTTACGATGTAATGCGTGATTGATTGTGCGTGGTGTAACGTTCCAAGCGAGTTAGCCAGCTCTCTATGTACATTTTGTCACTGCATTCTATATGGCCTGTGCGTGTTATTACATTGGTACAGCTATTGACACACATACATTTATCTTTTTTTTTTGCCCTGCAGTTTTAATCCGTCTTGACTCGTCAAATTTGACAAGATCGTTTTTCCTGATACGCTTCTACAGTTTGTCTTTATCTTCGAGGCATTCTGGCAACACACAGTCGCACTCAATATTCGTTTTATATGTGTTGTTTTTGTTTCTACTGATGCCTCCCTGAGGTGTAATTCACATGACGTATGTCAACACTGCTTCACTGGTTATCCCGTTCTATTAATAGGCATTCAATGGTTTCCTTGAAGTCATTTTACCAGCGTGGTTGACTCATCCAGACATGATGCAAAACTAAAACACAGTCATCCTTATAGTTATAATAATAACTCACAAGCCATCTCGAAAATATCCCCCAAGCCCCTCCTAAAAACCACCGACAACAACAACAACAACAACAGGCAAATGAAGCGATGAGTACTGAAGATTGGCAAACCAATCAACACGGCCAAATAATCAAGAACATTTATCGTTGTACTTTTAATAATAATTCGCCAGCTACTTGGAATTAATATTTTTTAAAGATCCACAAAATTAACTCGAAAAAAATGAAGCAAACTCAATGGAGAGAATGGGCGAACCAACTCAAACGACTATATATCAACAGTGGAAATTAAAGTAGAGGACAAACAATACGCGAACGAGCCACCAAGAAACTAATGTCTTATTTGTACAAACGCTGACAGTCTTGCAGAGAATATTTTGGCGAATGAACAGTTTAAATCGTCTATCCTCTCATCTGTTCAAGTGAACTTCGGGAAAACAAAAACACTGCGGAGTTATTTGCAAGCATTTCAACAAGAACACACAATCATTTCCCGTAGTTTGACGTTGAAGAGCGCAATTTGTGACGATGGCAGTAACTCTCTCCTGACTCTCTTCTGTCCCGGGCGATCTCAGGCGAGCGTGGAGCGGAAATGCATTGTTGGTTGGCCGGTAACTGCCTCAGTTTATCGGTACGTCTCCTCGGTACTTGGAACGCTCTTTTGCCCCGGAGCACCTCACAAATGTCAGTTAGAGCAAACGCAAGGAGCTGACTAGCGGCAAGGCAAGCGAAGATAGCGAAGAAACAAAGTGTGCTGCTTTGGTATATTAAAAGATGTGTGTCGCGATTACAGCGAAAATATTCAGTCAAATTAATGTCATTTTGATTCGGCACTTGATGAAGTCGATGCGTGTCAGGATTATGTTGGAGAAAATGACAGTGCAGTTTAATATTGGCTTATGCGGTTCGAAAATGGCGAATCATCATGAAAACAATGCCATCAGTTATTGACTAAGCAGATTTTGTCACACACTTGTATCTTATCTCCTGGCAAAAGCCCACAATACCAAATTTGGTGTAAGCCTCCGGGAAAATCCTTTAACAGCACATTATGAGATGCTTTGCGAGTGTTTTCTTAATATCAACGGACTCGAGATTTCTTAACTAAAGAGAGTGACGTCTTAAGAAGTGCTGCTGGTCTGTCTGAACTTACCTTCCGGTTAAAACTAAGTTGAGACAACCTCCACATCCGTCATAGCTTTCACTAGTCAGTCTGGTTGCCGAGGGCGCACGTTGCCACTCTATTGATAGCTTTACAGGTTTGCCTCTGGGCGTGTCTCAACGCAAGGGGCTGGAGCAGCTGCAACTGGCGCACCCCTTCCGTTTTTCTCGACCCACTATGGGGAAAGAGTAACCCATGTGCGTGTAAGAGGACACTCAGAACGCAGGAAGGCGGTCTTCGAAATAAAAAAAAAGATCGAGGGAGAAGAAAAACAGACACAAGTGCAAGAGGGAAAACCGGATCGTATTACATAAACTGTCTCGGGATACAGTTGTCTTTACACATCAAGGGTTAAACTCGTTCGTAACAGTTCCTCCCTTGAGGGATAGAAGTTTTTCATTTCCGCAGTTTTGTTGGCCCGCCAGGTGTAGGGTCATTCGTGTGCGAGAAGGCCGCCTTTTCTCATTTCTTTTGAATCACATCGTCCTTCTAAAGGTTTCGCCAAATACTTTCGGCAATTCAGTTGGGAACGTTGCTGTACATTTATTAACTTCGATCGCGCTTCGAGCAAGAGCGGCCTT